CCCCCCCCCCCCACCAGCTCCAGGGCACAGACCAATCCCTTCTGGCTTCTTCGGCTCCCTCACCCCCCTCACCCCCCCACTGGCCTCCACCCAGGCTCCCAGCACAACTCAGCACCACTCATCTGGCACCTGTCCCGGGAGGCTCCTTCCCGACCAACTAGCCAGAGTGCTGCGCCAGCGCCCCCCAAAGGCCCCACGTGACTGGCCTGGCCCATTTCGGCCCCCCCACGACAAGAACTTTGTTTCCGTGGCTCAGATGAGTCAAGCTCATTCCTGCCTCAGGGCCTTTGCACAGGCCAATCCCTCTGCCCGCTAACCCATCTCCCGTGGCTGCTTTTCTCACTTAGGCCACTCCTCCCCGACCACCCCGGCTGCAGCTTGCCCCACGCTGGCGATCGCAACGCCACCGGTTTCTTTCCCCTCCGCGTGCTCACCACTGACCAGCACGCACTCATTCAGGGGATGGCAGCATTTTCCACAAGGCGCAAGACCGCGGGCATTTCTGACTCTGCGGGCCATAAGGTCTGTAGCCCAAAAGCCGTCACAGGCAGCGTGTGAGTGGGCGGGCACGGCTGTGTGCGAAGAAAACCCGCCCGACAAAAACTGGTGCTGGGTGGGACTCGGCCCAGAAGGCAGTCTGCTGACGACCGGTCCTCTCGGTTTGCTTGCCCGCCACCGTCATCCTGACCCCCGCCGATCTGAGAGCCCACGAGAGCAGGGAGGGAGCCCCCGGCTCGCTGCACCTAGAGCCCACGGCAGGAGCTTGGACGATGTTTAATCAGCACCGTCCAAGGGCTAAGGAGTAAGTAAGCGACTGCTCGCGCTGGGTTCTGCGCGGGAGGGGCGTGCAGCACGGGGGCCTCTTCCACCCACGCACCCATCTGAGGAGGGAAAGTCCCCGCGCCCACACGCCTGGTGCCCCTCTAAGGGCTTACGAGTCAACCCGCTCGATTCAGCCCTAGGAGAAAGGTACAGTCATCGCACCCGTCTCACAGATGGAGACGCTGAGGCCGAGTGTCCCTGGCTGGTAAAGGATGCAGCTGGGATGTGAACCAAGGGCTCTGGCTCCCAGGCCTCTCTCCACGGAGGGGACCAGACCGTCAGAGGTAAAAGCGTCACATCGCCAGGAAGCGTCCAGGGCAGAATTCCAACTGGGAGATTCCAGCCGACTCGCCACAAGGGGTAAGGGACCACTCACCCACAACCACAGAGGAGGCCTCTGGCGACAACGCCCCAGCCCAGCCCTGTGGGCCCTGTGGGCCGTCTTCTCTCTCTCCTTCAGGCCTCCCTCCGTCAGGGGAGGCTTCACTGAGGAGACATTTGAGCAAAACCTTGAAAAAACTAAGGAAGCAAACGACACAGATATAAAGGACAAACGTTCTAGACAGACGGCACAACGTGTGCAAAGGCCCTGGGGCAGGGGCAGGACCAGGCCTAGGGGGAACAGCAAGGACCAGGCCCAGGTGGCTGGAGCAGAGTGGGCAAGGGGAAGACAAGGGGATGGGAGGGAGGGGATGGGGCAGGTCGTGCAGGGCCTTGGGGGCCTCAGGGAGGACTTGGGCTTTTACCCCTAGGGAGGTGGGAGCCCTAAAGGGCTGTGGGCAGAGGCGAGCAGGACCTAAGTCAGTTTTTAACAGGAGCCTTCTGGAATGAGCTGTAGGGTGCATGGGAAGAGACGAGGGCCCAAGCCAGTGACGGATGATGGGGCTAGACCAGGACTGGCAGAGGAGCAAGAAGTAGGCAGATTCTGGGTCCATTTTGAGGACAAAACCAGCATAATCTGCCACCAGATTAGATGTGGGAGGGGGCTGGAGGGGGGGGGG